AAAAAAAAAAAAAAAAAAAATGCTTTCAAGACTGAGCTCGAAGTCACGTGACTTGCTATCTCATGTGATCTCTTCATTTCTGCAAATGCTACGGTAGAATCTCAATCAAACTTCAACTTACAGGTAAGTCTCGTTTAATTATTCAAATCTATGAGATTATGCTTGACCTCGCTTGAGTGTAATCAAATGTAGTTATTTTAATCATACAATGTAACATGATGTTACTAAGCCTTGAATGTGGGGCTGAGGTTGACCTTGTTTTGATAAAACTGTCCTTTGTTTTCTTATGGAAATTATGTACAAGAACAACATGATTTACATAAGAAAGCAGATAAGTGTTTGTATCTGAAAAACGAGGTCAACTCCAACCTTGTTTCCATTTATTACAGTAAAATGGATTATTCCAAATGTTTACATGAAGGACCAAAAAAAAAAAAATGGAGAAAAAATGCCCCCACTATGTTGGCAACTCGATACAACAAAAATCTATATAACAAAGTCCTTGATAACAATGAACAACATTCTTTGCCCCACTAATAGTAAAACTTATGGAAAAGAACCTCAAAATGATGGTAGTTTCTTGGTGTTGTGGACACATGCAATCACCCAATGATGCAATACAAAAGACTGAAAGTAATACCCACACCACAACACAAAAGCAAACCAACAATGGTTTCCGTGACACCAAAAAACACCTGATTTAACAAAGCCTTGTTATACTGAGGATATTTTGCCAGTCTCTTGGCCCTTCATAATATTGAGGTTTTACGGTAAATAAAGTAGAACCACATGAGAAGTTTTAACATATTATTAATTTATGGTGTCCCAGAAGGGTCACACAAACAAATTAAAAATGTTGCTGCAAACTAAAAATTTTACCTGCAAATTAAAAATGTTGCTGCAAATTAAAAACGGGACGTGTAAATTAAAAATTGTACATGCAAAATAAAAATATTACAAACATGAAACATGAATGGGCTGACGGCTGTAAGGCCAGGTCGCACAGCTTGGACCAGGTCCTCATCACTCATACTACGTGCAGGACTTTTCATTTTCAATTTGCATCAATATGTTTTCTATTTTCAATTTGAAGCACAATATTTAGTTTGCATGTACTATATTTAATTTGCAGCTAATATTTTTAGTTTGTATGTACAATTTTTAATTTGCAGCAGCATTTTTAATTTGCATGTGTGACCCTTCTGGGCCACCATATTAATTCCTCCCAATGTTTAGCTGCATATACAACCACTTTAATAAAGGTTGCAATATAAAGCAGTGCCAAACAACGTTATCTTTCTCTAACCATCCCAGCTGCTATCACATCCAGTGGAAATTAACAAAGTTAACCAAACCCCTCACCGAACCACCCCCACTGAAAAACTATATTCTATATGTTCTGGCTTGTCCACCATACTTTCAAAGTTAAATGCTGAAAGATTAATTTTACAGCATGATGTTGTAAAAATGAATTACCTTTGTTGGAACCTATTAGATTTGCTCTAACTATGTACAGATTGGCCACTGCTGTTTGCGATTACAACACCATATAAATATTTTGTGTGTGTTACTGATGTTGAAAACTTATGAATCATCTTAGGGAAACTTTAAGCCCAAAACATTAAAAGGTGTAGGAATTCCTTGATTTAGACTAGCTAAAAGCCCTGTTGATAACTATCTTGATATTGTGGATGGATGTCAACGTTTTGATTGGTTACTCTTCAGTCTCTTTTTTTCAATCCTTGCATTATCTTAACAGTTGAATTTATTCCTTTAATTTACTGATGCAAATCAATAACAAAGATAATAACACTCCCTGGATAAAAGGGAAAAGGTAAAACAACACATTTTGAAAGTTAATTTGGCCCCTACAAAGCTACAATGTACTTATCACACTTTCGAATATTATATAAGGAGATCAGAGGTGATCAAATGGGCCTCCCTTGACATAATTTGGGACACTGTTGAGTGAGCAACAAAAATCAAAAGAAGACTTATACACTCTACCAGTCACTAAATACATCCTGGTAATACCTCATTAAAAGACTGAATCATTAATGTTTGCACTATTGGTACTTGTATGCTATGATTGATGGACAAAAAATGTCATAATGAATGCATAAAAAATGAAAAAAATTGTGCAAATGGGAAACTGGACCTTAGTTCAAGCTAGAAAACAAAAATAAGTTACGTCTATATGGACGATAACTTTGAACAAGTAGCTAATAAAATAATACCGTTAAGAAAAATGAAAACGATAATAACCAAATGACACGAAAGCAGTAACTTCTACTTCCCTTCCTTTTCAAATATTATTAATTGATGATGACCCTCTCCTGAACTTTGAAGACTTCAAGGTAAATACTGTCTGGTCATTTCT